CTAATCCCCAAAATATGATTAATCAAATCCCCCTTTCCCAGTTCTCAATCATTTATGACACCAGTCACCTCTGTCATGGCATGTTCTCTCTCTGATTCTAGCTACTTGGAGCTAGGCTTTCACAAATTACAAAGATACCATCCCTCAGATTGCCAAATATAGAGATACCAGCCACAAGCTTGGGAATCCACATAACATCCTTATTTCTGACCTATTGGCTGCAAATTCAAGGTTTTCTCATTACCCCTTCGGGATGCCAGCTGCAAGTTTAGGGGCTTACTGTGGACTCACTCACTTTTACCTGCTAGCTCCCACTGCTCCGTTGGGTTCAACAATTCACTGGAACAACTCATAGAACTCAAAAACATGCTATATTACAATTATAGATTTATCATAACAAAAGGATATTAATCATGATTAGTAAAAGAAACACATGGGGCAAGGTCTTGGAAGGTTCCCAACACAGACCTACATGTCCCAAAAAGGATATACTACCCTCTCATGTACATTGATGTCTTTCACCAAACAGGTAGCTCCTGGAGCTTCCACGGCCAGAGTCTTTATTGGCTTCATTGCATAAGCACAATCAGGGCCTCATTACATATATATGATAGGGACCTCATTGTATATGCATGATTGAATCATGATCCTGCCCCTGCCTGAGGTCAGTTGATATCAGGCCATGAGGTAATCCTTCTGGCTTGGCCAACCCCCCTTCATTAGCACAGTCTTTAGGCCTAGATAACAAAATCTACCTCAATTACTCAGGAGATTCCAAAGATCAACTCTCAGGAACCAAGGACAAATACCAAATTGCTTTCTGTAAGTTGACTCATTTCCTCACAAGGATAATCCATCACAATAAAGTGGAATTCATCCCAGGAATGCAAGATGAGTTCAACATTCAAAAATCATGTTAGTCATCTTAATATACTAAGAAGAAAATACATGGAAAAATATACTTAATCTTTGAATTTGGCTATGACTTCAGATAGACAAGGAACTCTGGTGTTGCAGTGATTAAAGCATTTGACTGATAACCAAACCGTCAGTGGTTTGAACCCACCAACCTCACGCAGGAGAAAAATGAAGCAGTCTGTTTCCGTAAAGATATACAGCCCTGGAAACTCTATTGGGCAGTTCTACTCTGTCATATAGTGTTGTTATGAGTCAGAATCAACTCAGTGGCAGTGGGTTTGGTTTTATACATCAAAATAACAAAATTTGATAAATTTGGTATATCCATACAATGGAATACTTCTCAGCTATTAAAAGGAATTAACATGCTACAACATGGATGAACTACAGAAACATTATGCTTAGTGAAAGAAGCCAGGTGCAAAAGATTGCATGTTTCAATTATATGAAATGTCTAGAAAAGGCAAATGTATAGAGACAGAAAGCAAATCAGTGGTTGCCTGGTGCTGGGGGCAGGAGTAGGGGTTAACTATAAACAGACATGATGAAACATCTTGGATTGGGGACTTCCAGTAAGATGGCAGAATAGGCAGACAAGCTACACAGATCCTTTTCAACAAAGAAAAGAGAAACCAATTGACAGAGATACGGAAGATGATCCTGGAGCCCTGAGCTTTAAAACGAACTATACAGAAGTGGATTAGGCACCAACTAGTGGAAAAATCTGAATGAAAACAGTGAGTACAGAGACGGACAGAGCTGCAGACTGTCAGCTACTCTGACAGCACCAACAGCCTGAAGATATCCAAGTAGAGCTGGGACCTAAGAATTGACTTAAAGATCAGCCCTGGTCACCAAAGGCTGCAGGGATGACTGCACTGATGGCCTATGACTAGAAAGGGAAACAGCAAGGAGGGAGACAACCTGAGCTGTGGACTTTTGGCTGTCCAAAGGGCACAGCCATTTTGATTGTTTATAAGCAGCGGCCATTTGGATATTTAAAGTGACTGAGGGGGCAGCCATTTGGAATGTTTAGAAGTGGTGGCTATTTTTGATATTTAATGTGACCAAGGGCACAGCCATTTGGAATGTACACAAGCTGTGGCCATTTTGGATATTTAAGGCAACAGCATTATCATTCAGATTTCAGAGACCTAAAAATAGGCTCTGTTTGCCAAGGACAGCAGGGACATACAGGAGGCTTACAACGGGAAAGGAGACAGGTGGTGAGTGCATAAGTGCTGACAACTAGCGAATAGAGGAGCACAGTACCCTGCTAACTTAGATAACGTTGAAACAAAACAAAGAAAATGAAAATCCTGTGCAAGTCACTCCAACATACAATCACCAAGTAAATATAAACACAAAAACCTCACAATGTCTTGAAGACAACAGAGCATCACAGTCTACACAAAGAGGCAAGATAAAGCAGGAGAAACAAGGGACCAGGATATAGACCCAGAACACATCCCTGAGGAAGAAGCAACATTGGAACTCCCTGATAAGGAATTCAAAAGAATTATATTTAGGTACCTTCAACGGATTGAGAGACAGATCAAGGAAAAAACTGACCAAAATGAGGAAAACACAGACAAAACCCTAGAACAACTTCAAAAGACAATATAAGAGCAAAATGACAAAATAAATGAAAAATTAGAATTGATATTAAATCTACAAATAGAAATCCAGAAGATTAATACTAAATTTCCAGAAATAGATAACTGTTCAATGTGAACAGGCAGAGGAGTAGAATTGAATCGATGGAAGACAGAATTAGTGAGACTGACCACAAATACCTCAATACTATTTCGGAAAGGGGTCAATCAGAAAAAAGATCAAAACAAAATGAAGAAAGCCTAAGGTTCACATGAGATACCATCAAAAGGAATAACCTATGTGTAATCAGAATTCAAGAACAGGAAGAGACAAATAAAACCACAGAGAAAATTGTTGAAGATTTGTTGGAAGAGAATTTCCCTGGCATGATAATAGATGAGAATATATCCATTCTGGAAGTCCAACGAACCCCAAACAGGATAGACCCCAATAGAAAATCACCAAGATATGTCATCATCAAACTCACCAAAAGCATAGGCAAAGAAAGAATCCTGAGAGCAGCATGGGAAAAACAAAAATTACCTACGATGGGAAGCCAGTAAGACTAAGCTCGGATTTCTTGCCAGAAATCATGCAGGCCAGAAGACAACAGGATAGTATACATAAAATCCTGAAAGAGAAAAATTTCCAACCAAGAATTATATACCTAGAAAAACTGTCTCACAATATGATGGTGAAGTTAGGATATTTCCAGATAAGCAGAAATTAAGGGAATTTGTTAAAACCAGACCAACCTTACAAGAGAGTCTTTTGCTAAAGGGAGTCTTTTGGACAGAGAACCAACAACAGCAAACAACAACCAACCATCAACAGACATGATGACATAACCCAGAAACCAACCCAGTTATGGAAGTATCCAAAGTAAATAAGCCTACAAGATTGTAAACAGGGAACTAGAGACATCAATTGACAAATGAGGACAACTACAAACCAAAAAGGGAAAAAACTGTGTAGTTACAGAACTTTTAAATGGTAGTGAAGTCAAGACAAGTGCAAGATAGAATGAACTGTTGTTCTAAACTTGGAAAGAAAATCATAAATCACAGAGTAACCTCAAAGAAAAATGATAAACCTTCACATTAAAATAAAAAAAGGACCACCACAAATATTTAGCAAACATTGAAACAATAGCAATGAAGGAAGTGATAACATGATTCATAAACAAAACGAGCTCAACACAGAAAATTATATGGAACAAAGAAATTAGCAACTTAACAAAATGACACCAACATTTCATACTTGTCGATAATTACACTGAATGTGAATGGATTAAATGCACCACTCAAGAGATGAAGAGTTGCAAACTGGATAAGAAAACATAGCTGATCAATAAGCTGTCTACAAGAGACACACCTTAGAGACAAAGAAACATTGTGGATTGTCGTGATCACTGCATAACTCTATATATTTACTAAAATCACTGAATGGTACAGTTACAATGGATGAATCTAATATATGAATTATATTTCAATAAAGTTGTTTCAAAAACTGACAAGAGAAAAAGAAACAAAGTTTAAAAAAAAAAAAATTCAGTTAAGTCATTTAAAGCTAGAGGTACCCGTGGACCCATCTCTGCAGAACCCCTTCTTTTTGGTAGGTTATAAGCCATGTAGAAAGGAGTTAGGAAAGGAGACAATATGCACCAGGTTTCTCACTATAACCTGCAAAGTAGGGTGTCAGGCTGAAGAGATAGCATTGGAGAGAGTGCTGAGCAAAGCAGAAAATGCAGGGACTGCAGGAAGTCCCTGGTGAGGGAGTAAGAAGTGAAGTGTGGACTACGGGTGGAAATGAAGACATAGATCAGGCCACCATAGGCTGCTAGCACACAGGAAACCAGGGATGTGAAAGCAGAAAGCATCATCACATGTTAAGAGTCGATATAAGTGTTCTGTGGATAAAGAATATAATCCTGAGGGCATGAATATTGTTTTGTTCATGGACATGTATTTGTCTATCTTTGTCACTGTCATGGAGAGGAAACTAGGAGCTGTACAACAAATGTTTGTTAAAGAAATCAAGGTACAATACTCATTCATTTCCATAATTTGCACAAACTGGCTAAAATAGGCTGACCCCACAAAAACTAGACCTGAGTCCTCTTTAAGCAGCACACAGAGTCCATGATTGAGCTCTGCCTTCATAGAGGGAAGAGAACACCATCTCCTATGGCACCATAGCAAGGTTTTCCCTCTCATCACCTCTACCGTTTTCTTCATTAGACAGATGATCTAGGCCAAAGGAGAGGTCATGTCTATCTGAGGTGACCCATTAACAAAGGTGAGAAAAGCAGGGATTCCCCCCCCTCAACTCCTCACGCCAGAAGGTATAAACTCTGAAATTACTCTGGGACTCTGCTGAGGCTCAAGGGAAAAAAGTCTAGCCTTTCACTGAACACCAATTGCATAGGCTAAGGAGGTCACAGCAGGTGAAGGAACAAAAGCTCTTCATTTCTAAGATGTCCTCACCTGCACTTTATTAAGTAGACTAAAAGCATCACTGCTAAATGTCTTCATATTGATGGTGGCCAATACTGTAAAGAGAAAAAAGAGGCAGTGTTACATGTGTCAGCAGGGAAAGGGGGGGGAGGGGTGCATCAGAAGGGAAGGCACGCTTGATAGTAAAGGTGCACCCCATGTTGCAGTGTACAGGGGCTTTTGCAAGGACACCAGGAGGTAAGAAGGATAAGACAGGTGGTTAAAGTTAGCCACATTACCCAGAGAAGTGGAACAGCCCAAAGTTCCACAAATTGATAAGAACTAGAAAATAAGCACAGGCTTCTTGACCCCAGCTTCAGCACACTTTCCAATGCACCATGCTCCCTCTCTTAGTATCTCTTAAATAACAGAGAAGAGCTACCAAAAGGGAGGATAGAAGAAGAGTATATAGAAGCAAGCTAATCTTGAGCTAATGATTACCTGACAGATCCCTGGAACCATCTACCTGCTCATAAAATCAATATCATCCCTCTATAATGAATTGTCCCACTACTTTATCCTCCAGGATCTACCACATGTCCACTCTGAGTCTCACATTATAGGATCTCAGGACAAGGACTTTGCCTGGGCTCAGTTTCTTATACAACACCTATTTTCTTTCTCCATGTCATTCTTAGATGTTGCTGGAGATGACCCTGATTCTAAACTGATAGAGCTGATATAACAGTCTGTTTAAAGACAACAGTCACAAGGTAAAAGTGAAGGAGTCAGCAAGTGAACTCTTAGCTTTGACCTTGAGTTTTCATCTATTATAATATTAAATCTCTGGGATCCATTTCAATGTACACAGAAAAGAGGGGCATCAGAGATAAACTTGGTTCTCTTTGAGACTTGTTCAAGATTTAAATTGGGTTGTTTAGAGCCTCAGCTCTTCCTTAGCAGGAGCTCTGGTGGCATAGTGCTTTCCGTAAGATACTCTAAATTTGTACCTCCTTTGATGTAGCCTTTAAGCACGTCTTTCTCATTATCTGAGGTCAAGAGCAGTTCGACAATCCCTCTTTGCAGCAGGGCCTGTGGGGAAAACAGAACAAAATGAAGGTCCCTTTCCTTGTTCCCATGAGAAAAAGGAAATTAGGAAATAAATGTCACCAGGATTCAGACAGGCAGGGTCTAAGCTCCAAACCTGACACTCTGTAACTTAGTAAAGGAAGAATCTCTGTCTCTGTATTAGCCATCCTGGTGTTTTCCATGGTCAACAGCAAAACCTATTGAATGAGTGTGGGCTCAGATACCCATGGTCTCAGTCCTGGGAAAAGCACACTACTAAGCAGGGCTCTTTGTGCTGCCAGGTTAACAGTAGACACTTTGAAAGAGAATCTAAATCAAAGAGAAAGTGAGAAGATGACTTGGGGAACACATTAGGTTCTAAGATTAGAGATAAAAGTCACAAAACCTGAATCACCCCTGGACATTGAGAAAGGAAACAGGGAAGCATATCATGGCTGCAGGGGCAGTCAGGAAATTTCTAATTTTAAAGTAATATTTATTACGCCAACAGATGACCAGAGAGCAGGATGAATCTGCCTGTACTTCTTATATGTTCACTGATCCATATCTGGTACTAGGAATGGAAAATGGTGGTAAATTTTAAAAATAATAATAATAATAATAATAATAAAATAGCGTTAGCTAAATAACATTGATTGATGGGATTACACTGCTCTTGAGAAAAGTCAGGGATGGAAATGATTTATGGCCTTGTCCAGTCCCAGAAGCCAACTCTCATCATAGGAGCAACCTACACCTGTAGCCCAGCCCTATACTTCTACCCTCATTTCAATGCTCTTACTTCCTTGCCCCACTGATGGCCTTTGCCATTGCTTTCAAGGCTGTCCCACCCAGAGGCCTCTGTGTGGATGAAGCTCAGTGGACAAGGACAGAGGCTAGTGTGGGGAAACCATCTCAGGGAAAAACATGGAGCCTATGATGTGCTTAGCAACCTAAGGAAGGATTCCAGGTTAGTGTGAAACCTCATCAACTTCCAGTAGTGAGTCAAAAAAGGGAGGGGCCAGACTCAATAGACAGTATACTAGGCAGGACTGCAATTCTTGCCTGGTCTGAGAAATCATCACATGGAGAAGCAGAGAGAAAAGAAAAAAAAAGTGTATTAATACTAGAAACCAGAAAGCTGTAAGGTGCTAGCTATTATCACTGAGTTTTTGAAGTGTTATTTCCTATGGATGGAGATTTGCTTTAATGAGAATTGCAGGTTATAGAGATGGGAACAGAAAGCAATAATCTGTTCATATCATGTTTTGCCTCATAATACAATTATTTAAGTACATCTCAATCTCCCTGGCAAATTATAAATTCATAAAGACGTTGAACCTGATCTTATGTATTCTCATATTCCACAGTGCCTAAAACAGTATCAAACAAGCAGCAGAGACTCAGAAGATTCACACTGGGAAAGAGATGGATTGAAGAATGAGACAGACAAATATATAGACAAAGCAAGCCAAGGGTTTCTTACCTGTTGAACATATGGCATGTAGTCTTTGTCCTTATTATATGAACCATATTCATTCTCCACCTGCACAGCAATGATAGGACCTCCCCAGTGGTACTGAGACACAAGCAGAGGAGGATTTAAGAGTGAGACTACTGGTGGCAAAAGCCTGGGGTCTCAAGAACTGTTACTAAGAATAACACCTCTAGAGTATCCTTTGATTGAATTTATCTTATAGTTCTGCACTATCTCTCTTGTCAGGGTCCTATAGTCACCAAGTCCCTGTGGGCACTTAAACTGCTGCAGAAGTCCTACCTAACCTGTACTTCATAGATAAGTAATTCCATAGTTTTCCCTCTATTTCTCATACTAATTGTGGTAGTTAGGGTAGTGTGCAATGTGCTTCAAACATGGTTTTGAGTGCTTAGCAGCTGGATGCAGTTATTCTGCACGATGAGAATCAACTCCATGGTGGAATCTGCTATGAGCAGCTAATTTGTTGCCTTTTGGGTGTGGCTTCCAGTATATATGGGAAGCTTTGAGAAAGGTCTCTAGCTTTTGTCACATTTGGATTTTGCATTTGGCTGAGTCTTCATCTCCAGTTCCTGGACTTGAACCAGCGGCCTGCCATGTTGCCTGCAGATCTTGGGACTGTGCCATTTTGCCTGCTGTTCATCAGCCTCAGCAGCTGCCTGAGTTAAGAGACACCTCCCATTCCAGTGAGCCTGGAATAGAAGGCAGAACTGAAGCCCAAGGTTAAGGGACTTTCACTTAGCCCCTAGAGTTGGCATTCTGAATTTGGCCTTCTAAGTGGTAAGATAATACATTCATGTTTGTTACACCATCCACTTGTGGTATGTCTGTTATAGCAGCACTAGAGAACAAACTGCTGATTATCTACTTAAACATGAGAACTCAAATCTGCAAACCCACCTGGAACCCATCCTATTCACCTTCCTTTCAATTACTTTGTAACTGAAGGAAGGCCCCTCCTTTTGTCAGGTTGTGTCCCCATTTGTGTGCCTACTTCCACCTGCTCCCCTCAGGGTCCTGGCTCTTTGGATTTTTCCCTCTCTCTTCTCTATCTTCACTCTCTCCTTCGAATTGACTGGTTTCTATCATCACAAAATCTTGTTCCGAATCTTCACAGAGAGAGGAGTTTGGCAGGAAGGGAGAGAAACAGAAAGAGAAGGGAGAAAGGAGAGAGACAGAAAAATCTGATTCCAAGAATGTTTCCCTTCAGTTACAAGTCTCTTTCACTCTCCATTTTAAGTGTCAAACTTTTAGAAAATGATCAATTTTCTATAGTCACACTCTCTACTCTTGTTACTTCTAAATCACTCCTCAGCCCACTCTTATAAAACTTCCATCCCATGATGCCATTTAAATACAATCAATGTTAACATAGTTGTGCTAAATTTTAAAAAGTAAACTAAAATAAACACACTTTTGTTTTCAACTTAATCTTTCAGTACCATTTCACATTCAAATCTACTTACACTTAACTTTTTGAGCTCTTTTCCTTCACTGTCTTTAGCATCACTCTCCTACTTTTCTTCCTACCTCTCAGGCCACTGTTCTTTATTTTCTTCTGTCAATTCTTCCTCTAGCTATCTCTTAAAAAATGTTCTCTTTCTGTCTCTTTATTACCTCCTTAAGCAGTATATTCACTGATAGTAATCGAAAGCTGTGCTCACCATCTATATTTTGTTGATTCCCAAATAACAAGATATCTTACACACAGAAATCTCCCTGCTGAACCACAAACCTATGCAGGTAATATCATCCTTGTCACCTACTCATGGATCTTCCCAAGTGCCTCAAATTCAATGTATCCAAATATAATCCCAGTATCTTACCCATTAAAATATGCTCATTTTATTTTATTCCAACCCAGTAGGTAGCATCTCAGTGTCCAAAAGCTCTTATCACACCTTCTTAAGTCAACTGCCACATTACAATACCAAGTCCTGTCAATTGTACCAACTAACTAGCTTTCAAATATCTCCAAATCTTTCCTCTCCTCTGTCACTATCCTAGTCCAAACACCACTGTCACTCCCCTAGATAATTACAACAAATTTCCAAACCCCAACCCGGGAAAAAGCAAACTCAAATTTAACTGACTCACAGAGACCCTAAAGGACAGAACAGAACTGCCCCCATAGGGTTCCAGGGCTGTAATCTTTATGAAAGCAGACTGCTACATCTTTCTCCCATGGAGTGACTGGTGGGTTTGACCTTTCAGTGAGCAGCTGTATACTTCACCACTGTCAGCAGGGCTCCTTTCCAGCAGAAAAATACCCCGTAAAGTACGTATCAATCCAACAGGTAGAATAAGCTGTCTTTACTCCATAATACTCTTTACTCCAGAGCATAAAGCAATTCCTTGGTTCCCACTGTCCCCTAAGGCAAATGCTATTCCCCTTAGCCTGCATACAGAAACTATCATGATTTAGCCCATTTTCCTTTACACCACTGTGGTAGCATATAGGCATAAGGCATTTATTTGACTGCTAACCAGAAGGCTGGCAGTTCAAACCCACCAGCCACTCCTCGGAAGCAAGATTGGGCAATCTACTTCTGTAGTGATACTGCCTCAGAAACCCAAGGAGGGATCGCTATGAGTCTGATCCGACTTGATGGCAGTGAGTTCGGTTTAGTTTTGGTTTCTCGATATGCCTCTTTCAAACTTCACACTCACATTCCAGACAAGCTAAGCTTCTTTTAGTTCTTTAATCTCATTCTCTCTCTTTTCACTTAGTCTTCATCCATGTTGGAGTCTCCTGACCATTGCCCCTTGCCTGCCTAATAAGGCCCACCATGCTTCAGGTGATTGTTGAAAAGTACTTTCTCTGGAAAGCATGCACTGAACCTCCCTTCCACATCAAGGCCTGCGCTTTTGTATTTTTGTTTGTTTTATTGTGATTTGGGTGAAAGTTTATAAAGCAAATTTGTTTTTGATTCAACAGTTCATAACACATTTTGTTTCATGACACTGATTGCAATCCCCACAATGTAACAGCTCTTTCCCACCTCCTCCCTGTGGTTACCTTTTCCCTGTGTCCTTCTTACCTATGCATTCCTGCCTTCTAAGCTTTTTCCCTATGCAAATGCTGCCTTTCTAATCTTCCATGGTTAATTGTTCTCAGCAGTACACCTCCTTAGTGTAGTTGTTCACCTTGTAGTCCTGTCAGTTGTTTGGCTGAAAGCCAAGAGAGTGACTTCAATTTTAGTCCTGAAGAGTAACTAGGCCCATAGTCTTGGAGGTTGCACCAGTCAAAATCAGACCAGTAAGCCTGTTCTTTTTTTTTCCTTTTGTTTTTTTTATGATTTTGAGTTTTGCTGTACATTTTTCTCCCACTCTATCCAGGATGCCCAATTTTGATCCCTTTCCAAGTGGTTGGCAGTGGTGGCCAGGCACCATCTACTTCTTTTGGTCTTGGTGTCATATAAGCCAAAGTTCCTATGGTACACTGTGGTAGTTAAATTTGTATGCTAACTTGGCTGGGCCTGGTTGAGTGGCTGGGCAGCTGGTGGTAGTTGTTCTCCATGATGAGACTTGTAATGAACTCCATGGTGGGATCTAACACAAGTAGCTGAGTAGCTGCCTTTGGGATGTGGTCTGCTTCCTATATATAAGGAGAAACCGTGGGGAGAGTCTCTAGTTGTATGGCACGCCTGAACCCTGCATGTAGCTGTGTCATTGTTCAGCAGCCTGCCATGCTCTGCTGACCTTGGGACTTTCAATAGGCTTAAATTAATGGCTTGACATGTGGTTTGGTAACATCAGGACTGCACCTTTTTACTTGTCAACCTTGGGTTTCTCAGTCTCAGCAGCCAGCAGCTGTCTGAATGAAGAAAAGCCTCTAGCTCCAGTGGGCTGGGACCAGGAGGCAGAGCTGGACCCCAAAGTTGAGGGGCTTTCACCCAGGCCCTAGAGCCTGGCACTTTGAACTTGGACTAAAAGCCTCCAACTATAAGAGAATAAACTCCTGTTTGTTAAGGCCATCCCATTTATGGTATATTCTTGTCAGAGAGGCACTAGGTAAGCAGAACATACACTAAACCAAAAAACCCAAACTCACTGCCATCGAGTCAGATCCGACTCACAGCAACCCTTCCTTTGGTTTCCAAGGCAGTATCACTATGGAAGTAGATCGCCCAATCTTGCTTCTGAGGAGTGGCTGGTGGGTTTGAACTGCCAGCCCTCTGGTCAGCAGTCAAATAAATGCCTTAGGCACTATGCCACCAGAACTCACATGGTACACTACTCCCTTGAAAATTGTTTCCATGTTATTGTTGTTGTTAAGGGCCATCGATTAATTTCCGACTCATAGCGACCCCATGCACAGCAGAACAAAACACCGCCTAATCCTGCACCAGCTCCACGATCCTTGCTATACTCAGCCCATCGTCACAGCCACTGTGTCAATCCATCTCGTTGAAGGCCTTTATCTCTTTCATCAACCCTCCTCCTTACCAAGCATGACATCCTTCGCCAGGGAATAGTCCCTTCTGACAACATGACCAAAATAGGTGAGACAAAGTCTGGCCATTCTTGCTTCCAGGGAGCTTTTTGGCTGCACTTCCTCCAG